CTCAGGTTTCTAATTAGGCTTTCAATCTGTTTTTTCAACTTTCCAGTGGTTGTATTCCCATTCTTATAGGTGCTAACTAGGACTGTACTTCATATAATAGGTCTGGATTATGGATGAAATCATGTCTAACTCTTATTTGTGAACTGTTGTGTGTAGGATGTTATCATTCTTAACAAGGTAGATCTAATTTCTCTAGATGACTCGGGAGCGGTGCTAGAGGAACTGGTGAAGGAAATACGTGATGTTAATTCCCTTGCTAATATTATTCATTCTGTGCGGTGCCAAGTTGACTTATCGAAGATATTAAACTGTCAGGCATATGATCCTACTGTAAGCAATGATCCTTATACATGAAATTCAGCTATTGCTACATAGCAGACGGAAAGCTAAATAATCTTCCATTTTCCTGATTTTTTAAAGCATGCTGCTCATCTTGAAGCATTGTTAAAGGAGAACAAATCTCTAACTACTAAAGGCCTTCATGACAGTGAAGTCAGAACATTGTGCATCTGTGACGCGCAGCAGATTGATCTTGATAAGGTAACTTTTTGAAAGGGGTGCTGGTATGTGCTTGCAGGGCTATGATTTTTGCTAGCTACTTCTGAGTTTTCTGATTCTTTCCTTGTAAAGCAAAAGGGGCTTGCTAATGGTGTCTGATTATCTTTTTCCTATCTAGGAAACTCGTCCTTTAGGGTCCTGTACATGCTAAAAGTTTTATGAAGATTAGTGCACCTCGAAGCCGTTTATTGTAGCTCATACATATTATTATCCTTTCTATGCTCCAGTTGTGGTTTTACCACAATTTCATACACAAAGGTTGACTCTTCACTATCTTGGATCACTAAAGTCCTCATTTCTCTTCTTGGCAATAGGTTCGTATATGGCTTGAGGAGCTCCTTTGGGATAAAAAGTATGGCATGGACGTTTATCGTTGCAAGGGAATTTTAAGAGTCAGAAACTCGGATGAACTCCACACTTTACAGGTAAGAAATCCTATGATAAAGATAACTTTCATCTCCACAAGCTGTTATCTTATAATAATATTTCACCTAACAAATTTGCTGTGCAGTAGTTAAGATTCACCGTCTCTTCGTTATTCTTACAGAAATAGAAAAACCTCTTTGCAAATTTTCCTGCGTAAACGGTAAAACAAGCCTCATACAAAAGCAAACAACTTTACTTGGAGCCTTGAACTTTCAAATTATTTTCCCTGGCCAGTCATTCTCATCTCTATTCATTTTCTTCATCAACAGATTAGAACACGTTTTAACAGAAAATATCACATCCTCCTTTCCCATCCAGTAAATCGAATCTTTCTGCAAGTTTAGTATAATATCTTCTCCAACTGATAATAGTAGTCTGACTCTTCCTATTTCCCAACCGTAAAAGTTCTCCTGAACTGAAAATTCCCAGCTTCTACCATCACAACAATCAGCAATCCTACAGTTTCTGTACAAATCCGAGAATGTTTCTGGTAAAGTGCACTCCTGATTCCACTTGTCTTCCCCGTTCCTTGTGTCTGCTATGCAAATGTGCATCAATATCTTTAATATTGCAACTTTACCAGTTATGTGAAGTAGCACAAAAAGCTATTCAGTGAAGCAAAACGTTATTATGTCTATGCTTTCTGGGTGTCTATGCTTTGTGTTTTCGTTGTCCTAACATGTTTACTACTGCGTCTGGCAGGGCGTGAGAGAAATATATGAAATTGTTCCAAGTCGTAAATGGAGAAACGAAGAGATTCAGATGAACAAAATAGTATTTATAGGTAAAGCTCATTTCAAACTATGAAGTTGATTTACAACTTTTTCTTCTTTTAATCTTGCCTTTCTTTTTCAGGCCGCTTTCTCAATGAAGAGATCCTTTTGCACTCATTACATACTTGCATTGTTGGAACTAATTGACTCGCATAGAATTCGATTAAATCCTATTTTCTATCGTTAAGATGGAAAACTAAATCAAGAATTCTCTATCTTCATCATTACTCGTTATTTCTTTATCTCGATGATTAACTTAGTTTACGAGAAATCTTGTAGTGATTGAAATGATTTACGAGAAATTCTCTATCTTCATCATCCTTGGTGTATGTTAGAGCAATTTTGGCTGCACAAAATTAAAATACAATTGGTATACTAGTATTTAAGGTATATACATACCTATCATAATCAATGCTTTAAAATATATATCAAATTAAGAAGTTGTACCCAAAGACACTTAAATGGCATTGTCAACAATAAGACCATGTGTATTGACTATTGTGTCCCACAAAAAAAAAATCATACTTGCCCCTCAAATTTTCTCTCTAGTAACATCTCAAGTCCATTTAATTCAATTTAGGTTCGTACAATTTTATTTTCAAATTACCAAACTTCAAAAAACACACATGATTAAAAAAAAAAACTTTTCTTGTAAAGTATCATAACTCGATTTTTCTCATTCATTCTAATATAAAATTCTTCTAAAAACATCATGTGCATCTCACCTTCAGAAATCTATCAACTAAAAACGTACCCGTCAAATTCAAATTGATCAACCCGTACACCTTAAAAACTTCACAAATTTACCCTTGTGTCAAATAAATGTCATTTAATAGAATGAGAAATATATAAAGCAATAAATAAATAAAAAAAAGGTAGAGTAGGTGTTGTTTGTTATGGTGTCATAGCAAATTGTCTTTATCAATGAGTTGGCCATTTCTCCCGACAATTTACAACAGCGCGCTGAGCTAATATATTCATAATACTACACTAATAGGAGTTGGGCCATATATAGGATAGTAGGAGATTTTGCTTAGTTATTACTCCCTTTTGGTTTCGTTTCAATTGGCTTGTCTGGTTTTATTTTAATGTAATGATAATAAATTTAAAATATATTGAATATCTCTAAATATTTTTTTATTTTTAATCGTATGATCTTAAACGTGTTATATGTATGGACAGTTAGAATAGAAAACAAAAACCATCCATTTTGATCATTGAACTTTTTCTTTTATGTAGGTTATATTTATCACGTGGGCTTAACGCAACTTATAACGATCTTTTTTTTAGTGGTTGAGTTTTTATATGACTACAAAATGTTAACTTAAATTTAAATCAAAATTATTGAATTATGAGTTAAATCTACGTATTAGACTTCTCGCAATGTTGCGGATATCGAAGCGTCCATCACGCGGAATTATTTAATTAGGAGGTGTCAAACCAAAATTGGAGTATGATAAGAATAATTAACAAGTTAAAATAGATTAAGAAGAGTTTGATTACGACTCTATCATCATTTATTATAATTTCTTTTTTGTTGGTTACTTTTTTATTTTTCCTTAATATAATATAATCCTTTTCCTGTCATTCCATTTCCACATAAAATATTTCTCCCATTCATGTGATGCATGTGCTATGGAATCAAGCTAACAATTAAATATCATATTATAAAATTAATCTCAACATTTAAAAAAATACTTATTATCATATATTGTTTATCAATTTCATTAAAATTTAATAATTAAAGTGGAATAAGGATAAGTATTAATCTAGGATTCTCTTTTTCTTTGTTCTTCTTTTCCCCCTTTAAAATATCTTTATTTTTTTACTTTTGTGTCCCTATTTTTAATATTACTTTATTTTTTAAATACAAAAATCATTTTTCTTATCAAAAGATTCACATTATCATAATTTACAAGATATTAATATTGATAAGTTAATTTACTTTGAAATATCAAAAGATATGTTATATATATATTAAATTCATGACATAATAATAAAAACACTTATTAGTTATTTATTGGTCCTAACTATACTAAAATTAATATGTTACAAATAATACCAACAAAAAAAGAATTATTTCCAATTATTGACATTTTGCTTTTATTGCACATTATCATTATAGTTATAATTAAAAAAAGTACATTTTAAATATTATAGTGGAGTGTCCTGTAAGACTTGTTAGTGATAAATAAAGTGTTAAATTATTATATCATGGAAAATTATTACCCAATATTTGCATTAAAAAAATAACCAAAAAAAAAATGACATTATGTCTGTTAGTTCAATTTTACCAATTAGTAAATAACAATGATTAATATTTTACTATATATATAATTATGATAAATTAAGTTGGTTAACATAAATACTGAGCTTGAATAAATAGTTACCATTTATGTTAGCATAGACATATTAAGAAAGGTAAAGTTGAAGTACAATTTCTAGAAGCTAATTATAATTTATAGGTAAGTTGTTATTTATATCTGGTGGTTGACACTAATCATGTAAATCTTTTTAGAGTTAATAGTAAAAAGCATATATAAACTAATCAGGTAAATTTGTTAGTTTTAATAGTACAAAACATATATAAATTAATTAGGTAAATTTGTTAGATTTAATAGTAAAAAATACATAAACTATCGCATCAAGTTTTATATCTCAACTATTTATTGTATCATTACATATCTAAAGTATCATTTCATTTATATTTAAATATACCTAGATGCTAAATCTGTCCACAACGTCTAGGTAAGTAGGTAACAACCATCCAAACCGTTAATTAGTTATCATATTATTACCATCAGTATTAATATATTACCCATCTTTGTATCTAGATAACAACCGTCTAAATCAAAAGTCGTTAATTATTTTGTATATTCTTGCCATAAATATTAGTATATTAACATTTATCACATTGTTTCATTCTTTGTTTATCGCCATCTATAGTACAAAAAAAAACTATACCAATAATTATTTCTGTCTCAAATTACCTATCGTATTTATCTCCTCTTATAAAAATACTCTAATAACTATGATACTTTTTAAACTATTTTACCCTCCTTTATGTTTTTAATCTTTTCTTAAAAAATAAAATTAAATGGAAAAGAAAAGTAGGCCCCACTGATAATCCTAGTCACAAAGGGCAAAAAGTAAAAAATAAAAAATAAAAAAATTGTCACAAAAAAAAAAAAGTGAAAAAGAGAAAGATATTCAACACAATTATTCCCCTGTAATTATTAGATTATGTGAGTTTTCATTTCTCAATGTGCGAGTCCTGTAATTTGATCTGTATACAACAAACAAGGAGATTTACTCTCTGCATTTTCTCCAACAGAAAAAAATAAAAATAAAGCTGCTGTTACCTTCTCTTTCCTAAAAACTCTGTTCTTTTTCATTTTCTGTATCTTTCTTTATATGTCAATACCAATCCCAACTCTGCATAGCTTTCTGCAACTGTCACAATATATATATATATTGAGAAAATAGAGAGACATTCCTACATTTTATGTCCATCCCATTTATCAAGACTCAATCTTTAGGTACAATAAACAAAAACCCTAAGCTTTTATGCTTTATTTGATTGTCATTTGTTGTAAAGATTGAATCTTTTTGGTTAAAGTTGTAATTTTTTGGTTTAAATGGCATTTTGGATGTGGATCTGATCTGGGGTTTTTGATCTTTTTGTGTTGATGATTGGAATGGTTGAGAATTTTGAATCTTGATTTGTGATTGGTCTTTTTCATTTGGTGTCTTTTTGCAGGGTGATCTGAGGATTTGGATTGCTTGGTTTGTAAGGGAATAGAGAGAGTTGTTTCAGAATTGGCATTGGTTGGATTGGTTGTGTGTTGTGTGAGAGAATTGTGAGTCATTGGTAGTTGATGTGTCATAATGTTTTAGGAGGGGCTTTTCACTGATCTGCCATTTGATTGTTGTACTTGGTGATTGTGGAGACTTGTGGTATTGGAATTTCACCTGATTTGTAATCTTGTTTAGTTTGGTATGATTGGAGAATTTCTTTATGTTGAGCTTAGGTAGTGGTTTAAACAGATGCCAGTTGAAATTGTTTGGATTTTGGGTGATATATATGGGAGATGGTCTCTGATGATATATTACATTTTTCATAGTTGTTGGAGGTTCAGGTTGAAGCAATAGCTACCACCTAGTGGTCTAATTCAACTCGATTTTCGAAGGGGTTCTTGAAACTTGGCCATGAGAAGCCCTTTGGTCAATAAACTATCATTAATTTTCGGCCCTAGACCGCCACTCAACCGAATACTCTTGTGTCTGGTCAGTGTCTGTGTGCTACTAGTATTGTTATCATCATTTTCTACTACTACCTTTGACTCGGCGACTTCCTATGCAAAGCCTGATATCTATACAAATTATAGAAAGCTAAAGGAGCAAGCAAGAAATGATTATTTAGAGCTTAAGAGCATTTCTCTGGGAGCTAACCTGATTAAGGATGTTGGTCTTTGTGGGAAGGAAAGAGAGAATTATGTGCCTTGCCATAATGTATCGGCAAATCTGTTAGCTGGGCTTAAAGATGGGGAGGAATTTGATAGGCACTGTGAGTTATCGCAAGAACACCAAAATTGTTTGGTTCGTCCTCCCAAGGAGTACAAGATTCCACTGACTTGGCCAGCAGGTAGGGATGTCATATGGAGTGGAAATGTGAAGCTAACCAAAGATCAGTTCCTTTCTTCTGGAAGCATGACAAAAAGGTATAGTTGGTCAAATTCAGGTCATCTTTCAAATTTGCACATCTAACTTTTTATGCCTTCTTTAAAGTTGGTCACCAGTTTACTTTGTTTCCAGGCTAATGTTATTGGAAGAGAACCAAATAGCTTTCCATTCAGAGGATGGAATGATTGTTGATGGTGTCAAAGATTACTCTCACCTTATTGCGGATATGATTGGTCTAGGAAGTGATACAGAGTTTCTTCAAGCCGGTGTAAGTTCAACGGTTGTGCTGCATTAAATAGACATTCTTATTTATCTCTTGTTTGTATCTTTGTGTGTTTCCTTAAAGTCAATTATATTGGTTTGCGAATGAGGTACTGGCTTCATTCCTACATCTAAATGCAGATATATTGTCTTTCTCTTCTGAATAACAGGTGCGCACCGTGCTGGATATTGGTTGTGGATTTGGTAGCTTTGGTGCCCATCTACTCTCATTGAGGTTGATGGCTCTTTGTGTGGCACCATATGAACCATCTGGTAGCCAAGTTCAGTTAGCACTCGAGAGAGGACTTCCAGCTGTCATTGGCAACTTTATTTCGAAACAGCTTCCATTTCCATCATTGTCCTATGACATGGTTCACTGTGCTCAATGTGGAATCATTTGGGATAGCAAAGGTATTGTTGCAGTTGTGCTTTGAGGAAGTACGATTTTCCTTTTGGCATTTATGAGTGTCTTATCTTATTATATTGGGATAATGCCCAAGTACCCCCTCAACCTATGTCCGAAATCTCAGAGACACACTTATACAATACTAAGGTCCTATTACCCCTGAACTTATTTTATTAATAATTTTTTACCCCTTTTTAGCTTACGTGGCACTATCTTGTGGGCTCAACGATAGTTGACTTTTTTTTCGAACTAGTGCCACGTAGGCTAAAAAGGGGTAGAAAATTACATATAAAATAAGTTCAGGGGGTAATAGGACCTTAGTATAGTATAAGTGTGTCTCTGGGATTTCGGGCATAGGTTGAGGGGGTACTTGGGTATTTTCCCTATTATATTTATAATTTCCATGTATTAAATATGATATGTACTTCATTTCAATTTTTTTTTTCATGATGTCGATTGTCAAATCCACTCCTAGAAACATTACATGTAATCCTTTTCCAATCTGTTATATGATTTACCCCCTACATTGGTAACATAGTTTCCAAATAGAATAATGTTGCTTGATATTGCCTATTTAGCTATACTTTACTACTGTCCTGCTAATCGGTTTTCCTTAAAATTCAAATCCTGCTCTCTCTCACCTGAGCTGGACCGCAGCCTGAAAGCTTAGACTATCTTGTGTGTCAGAGATTGATCTTAAGCTGGGGCTAAATAGATATTATTATTTAGAAACCAACACCATATTCATATATACAGATGCATTCTAGTCTATAGTTGATTTTATACTTTCACATTTTCTGTAGGTGGAATCAAAAGCGAGTTTGTTTTCACCTTTCAGCTATCATAATGATACAATTTCAGATCTCATATCGCCTTCTAAACATTTAAATATCCATTCAATCCTGTTAAAATTTGAAAATAAATGTAATAGCATGGAACTGACAATGATTTGACAAAACAGATGGGCTGTTTCTTATTGAAATTGACCGTTTACTCAAGCCTGGTGGTTACTTTGTCTTAACCTCACCTACAACCCAGCAGCAGGATAGTACTACCAATACAAAGAACGGAATTACATCTAGTTCACTGGAAGGATTCACTAAGAAGCTCTGTTGGTCTCTTTTGGCACAGCAAGAAGAGACGTTTATTTGGCAGAAGACAGCTGATTCTCAGTGTTATACATCCAGGTAAGGCTACTAAGAAAGGCAATGTGTGTAGCTAATTTACTCCCACTCTCCGACTGTGTTCGGTTTCTCGCTTCCTCGACTTTAGTTAAATCAAGTTATAAGCTAATTTCAAGATTAAAAAGAAAGAACGAAAGTTTTGCAGAGTTTCAAATCTAGAAATATAATACCTAATAAGGTACAAAAGACCATATTCTTTTGTTAAGGCATTACCCCTACCCCCCAACCCATGCGCACACACACATCCAAACATTTCTTATGGATCATGGATAGGTTTGAAACTGTTGTCATTTGTGCACTTGTTTATAAAGTATTGTATGCCTATGCCCCCAATTGCCCTATATCATTTACAAAACCAAAAAAGTTGCCGTTTATGCTCTGGTGTTAATATTCGTGTGTTTTGATGTGTTTCCAAGTTCAGTTTTGCCTTTTATTTGTCTTCTTTTTCCACTTAACTTCCATGACAAGAATTTTCGTTTAATTGTAGCAGTCAGGGTGAGATACCAGTTTGTAAAGGAAATGAGATGCAAATGTACTACCAACCACTTGCACACTGTATATCTGGGACAACGAGTCGCCGGTGGGTTCCAATTCATAGCAAATCTGATCATCTGAACTCAACTGAGCTTGAAATTCATGGCAAGTGTTCTTTCTGTTTTCCCAAAACTTGATTGGTTGTTGCAATGTTTTCAGTTTTATATTCGTTCTCCAATTCTGGGTTATTTTGTCCCTCTATTTTTAGCAGTCATTTTTTTTACCAATCTTTTGCTTTGTGACAGGGCTCCATCCTGATGATTTCTTCGAGGATTCAAACTTCTGGAAATTAGCTCTGAGAAATTATTGGTCTTTGCTATCACCCTTGATTTTCTCTGACCATCCGAAAAGGCCAGGAGATGATGATCCATTACCTCCATATAATATGGTGCGTAATGTCATGGACATGAATGCTCATTATGGCGGTCTTAGTGCTGCATTAATGGAGGCAAGAAAAGCCGTATGGGTGATGAATGTGGTTCCTCTTGGGGCACGTAATACACTTCCTCTCATACATGATCAAGGTTTTGCCGGTGTTCTGCATAACTGGTGAGACATTGTTATAAATGTTCTAAAGACTTGCAAATACACGTGTAAAATTGGAAAGAATGCTTTCATGTTCTCAAGTTTCTTGATAGTAAAATTTTACTGTATATTTTCTGTTTCGTATTAGTTAGCGGAAGCAATTACATCTTTCTGGAATGATCCTGTTGTTTTCCATGCGTACTTTAATGTTGACTGTCAGCCTGAATAGGTTTTGGTTGTGATTGTAATCTTCTCTGTCACCAGAATTAATATCTTCTGCTTAGTGATGTCTTTATATAGTCAGTGAGAATGTATTTAAGATCATAAGAAGCTCGATCATATACTCACCTGGATATATTCTTAAAATTTGAGTCCTTTCAGTTGAATTCTCATAAAACAATTGGAGTTGAACTGTTTTTATTGCTAGATGCTCGAAATATTCTGGTTACTCATTCCGACTGTTGTTCAAACATTGGTGTAGGTGTGAACCCTTCCCTACATATCCCCGAACGTATGATTTGCTCCATGCAAATGGGCTCCTTTCCCATATTGCTTCACAAAAATGCAGCATGTTTGAACTACTTCTGGAGATGGATCGTATTTTAAGGCCTGAGGTAATATTCCATTTGCTCTTTTGGTTTACTTTTTCTTCGAAGGTTAGCTTGTTTCCCTCAATGTAAAAATATACTTGTTGCAGGGATGGATTATTCTTTCTGATACATTGGGTACAATAGAGAAAGCACGTACATTAGCTGCCCAAATCCGCTGGGAAGCCAGGGTGATCGACCTCCAGAATGGAAGTGACCAGCGACTACTTGTATGCCAAAAACCATTCGTGAGGAAGTGATATTCTGCAAAATGCATAACTTCACCAATCCAATGGTTGTCCAGTCCTTTTTAACACTGGTAAGTTCTTAACTTCTCGTGTAAACTAGGAATAAGTATGAAAACGCGGAAGTTCAATTGAAAATCTGTAAATCCGCGCTTTCTGTCATATATATTTTTTTCATGAAGTGGACTACATTTTGATATTACAAGGCCACAAGCTGCGCGTTGACGTCTGAATCTCGTGGTCCTCGCATAATATGGTGCTCACAAAGCTGAAACTAAAGTATTTGGAAGCTGATGAATATAGAGAGTGCTTTTGTTTCATCAAGTAGTTAACAGTACACAACAGAAGATTTTTGACCTTTTTCTATTTTTTTTTTTTCAATATTTATGTAACAATTCTTTCATCTTATTTTTTTTTTCAATTTTGAAATTCATTCTGAATTTTGTAATTGAATTATGTTTTGTACTGAGGAACTACCCTTTACTGAGAGCAAATGTTCTATATTGGATCAATCATAAAGATGACACTTAACCAAATTCTTCAAGAATTGGCCTTCCATCATTTGTCTTGTAGGGCTGCATTATATTTAATTGCTTGGACTCGGTATTTGATACGAGTGTGGATTTAGAGGTTGAGTATGGTATCCGATAAGACAGTACAAATTTAGGTATAGTACAAGTTCGAGTGTCGTTTAACCGTTTAAAAATAATTCAGAATATCTAAGATAGACTTATAGTGTGGTCTAACTCAATTTTTTGTTCTCACGTTGTAGTAAAGCTCAAATATTTCTAACAAAGAAATAATGAATTGATTTGGGGTGGTGGATATTTAGTTAACAATCATTATCGGTTAAATAGCTAAGAATTTGATTTTAAAAAATCACTTTGAAATAAGGATAAAAATTAGATGAATTATGATGCATATGAGTTGACGGATGATATTTTGCTTGAAAGCAAATACAGTCACATTATTTTTTAATCGAGAGTTTGAGATAGTCAAAAGTAAAAGTATGAAACGAATCTCTAAGTTAAATACTTTATATATCAAATAACATTAATACAATTATTTAATTGTATATCGGCTTATCGATTAACTCGTTAAGAAAAAAGCTCAATCCTTTAAAAATGAATAACTCGATAATAAAAAAATTAAAACTGTTACCAAAATCGCTAAATCAATTATTCATTATCGATAAAAGAATAACTTTTACTTTTCAATTAAGATTATTGATTTTTGAACAACCCTAATATACGTTAAAGATAGTGATGACTACACTTTCAAATCCTGAATCTGCCTCCGAACTTTATTACTTTATTTGGTTAGTATCCAAATGTAATTTGACAAACCATGTTTGGGCCTTCTAGTTTCTAATGGACCCAATTTCACTAAATTTGGGCCTCAACTGTAATTTCCTCATAACTTTCATCTTCCTCGCCTGAACCATTTTCCCACTCCACCGGCGGCCACTTCTCTCTACCGGAGACTTGAGTAAAAGATTGGGATTTACGTTTGTACTTTGAGGTTACTGCGCATTTTCACCTATTGGTTCGAATTCCGACGAGAGCCTCTTGATTTTTGCTATTTTGGGAACAAATTTGTATAGTTTGGAGCTTAAGCTTCCGAGAAAAATACCGGTATACCTCAAATCGACTCTATTTACTGCTTGTAGCTTGTTTGGATGCTTCTATATTTATATATTGATTATTGCTTTAATTTCGTATCATTAATCAGTGTGATTGCGTAGTAACCTTGTTTTTTCTTCTCATTTTGTCTCTGTTTATCATCTCATAATCCTATTTTATCATTTACTGTATCTTTTTGTAAAGGTTTATCTTTCAAATTGCGTATGTGTGACGATATGATGCATTATGAAGCTATATGTAACAACCATCCAAACAAAGTCTTTAACAATTTAATGTGTTGTGATTCAATTTTTTTAAATGTGCTCAATCTTAGGCTGTCACAAACTTTTTGATTCTCTATTTGTTAGAGAGAGAGGTATTTGAGTCTATGGAGTCTATCTTATCTATTGATTTTGGCTCTCAGGTTTATTTCTTATTGTTTTGTAAATTCCAGTTGGTTCATAGGCTTGTTTAATTTTTTATTAGTTTGCAGTGCACTTTTATACTGGTGGTGTTTTTATATCAGTTTTCCTTAGTCCTACTTAGATTTCACTTCTTTTGAGCTGAGGTTCTATCGAAACCGCCTCTCTCCTCCATAGAGGTAGTGGGTAAGGACTGGGTACTACATCCTACCCTCTCCAGACAATATGTTGTTGTTGTTTCCCTTAATCCTGTTCCTGTAGCTTGGTCTGAACTGGGATAATGCATTTTATGGAGTCTCATCTTTATTACAAAAATAAATAAATATTGGTATCATCAGGACATATCCCTGAGCAAAAGGATGAAAGAGAGTAAACTAGCCATCATTGAGTATAGGTAAGGCTCACCAAAACTGCTGAAAAAGAACCCAAATCTCTAAAAAAGTGAATTTGTAATAAAAAGCTAACCTTGATTGATCTTTTTTAAAGATTTGTATAACATATAGGAGCAATAAACTAGGAACTGTGTTAAAAGAAGCTACCGTCTGATAACAAATGATGTTTATTAAAATGCAATAACAAGGAAATCAAACAAATAAATAAGAAACAGATAGAACACATGGATAGAAGTAGAAATTAGACTGCGGAGGACAGAACTTAGTAGAAATAATGGATAAATCTAACAATTATATCATTAGATTTTTATCCTTGGAAGAAGGAAATGAACTTCTACAAGGAAGAAACCAAAAGAGGTTCAATATGGAGTTACAAGGGATAATCCCTAAATACTCACCAGAAGGAGTATTATCATCCAACGCTACCCCCCTAAAAGGGAAAAGAAAGAGACTATGTTCGGTTCTAATTAAGGTTTCAATACCCAAATTTTCCCTCAGCTAAGGCCTTAATAATTGAATGGGCCGAAACTGCAAGAATATCCATAATTAAAAAGATTTTTCCTGTTTCCTTGACTTGATTTTTTGGTTTCCACATCCTTTTAAAGCACTTATAACTCGATGTCAAATTGAAAGCCTTCAATGTCACGGGTGCTTCTACATCATTTTACGAGTAATATGTGTTCTAATACTAAGCTTTGCTTTTCAAACACCTTTATTTCATCAGAAGTCTTCAGCAGTAAAACAACAGAATAGTGCTGGACTATTAATTGAAGTGAAATATGTTCTTCTTAAAGATAATAGAGCATGTGGATCTTCAAAAAAGAAAATGACAATCTTGGATGTGTTGATTACAGGGTTGCTTCCAGTTTCGCGGAAGATGTCACTTTTCAGGCTCTCTAGAAGAGTCAATCCTTTACTTTCTTTAAACAGGACTCATCATTATCCACTTTCCACATCCAGGTGATTAATTAGCTATTTTACTTTTCTCTTAGTTCTTTTTCCCTTCTGGCATATCTGCATTGCCATGAGTTAATGGTAGTTGAGTGTGTCCCATATTGCTCAACCTATTCTTCATTGATTCAGGGAATATCTTGAAATTGTAGCGTCAAAAGATATAAATCTTGGGGTAATCAACAATAAATATGGACAAATCTTTGGTTTTGGATATCGAGGTTTCACATCAAGATGTGAGCTTAACAAATCTACTCTTCACAACTGCAAAGGGCCCTCCTTTTTGAGAGGGCAGAGTACAGTTACGTCTTGGCCAGTGTTGAATCTTCATCATCATTATGCAACTCAGGCTACTGCAACAGAGAATAAATCAAGGAAGATGCTCTTTTATTTGGTGGGTTTAGTTTTTGCTATGGTAGGGGCTAGCTATGCTGCAGTTCCCCTGTACAGAAGATTCTGCCAAGCCACGGGATATGGAGGTACAATTCAACGCCGGGAGGTCAGTTATTCTTCATTAATGTGGTTATGGATAGGCTTTCAAAGTCCTGAAATTAATGAAATTTACCACCTTACAGAGTGTTGAAGAAAAGATTGCCCGACACGAGAAAGATGGAAGAGTTACTTCCAGGTACTTCATATGTTGCTCACTTGAAGATCTTTTTTGTTGTAACTTGCATGGGTACATTTAAAAGTTTTTTGTTCACTCATGTTATTAAAAATCATTGCTTCAAACTTAAAGAGATGAAGAGATGCAAAACTAGGGGACATCTCTCCATGGGTGGAGGCATGCGCTCTAGAGAAGTGTGCTCTCCAAACTATGAAGCCATACTGATACAGAGAAGAACCAGTCAATTCTTTAAATCTCAATGTTAAGGAGTTGCATTAATATTCGCATTATGTCTTATTAGATGCTGAAATGAGCAATTTTTATTGCAATTTGATTTAGTTACTAAAAGCAATGAGATTTTCTTGTGAATGGTGCACTTCACTTCAAAAAGAACGAGCTTTACTTCTCACTTTTGTTTCAAGCTTCATGGACCTTGTCGTTTTTTGTGCTTCTAAGAAGCATTGTTTCTCTTTAGTTCTTTCAATCTACTTTCCTAAAAGATAGTGAATAAGAAATACAGTGGTGTTCCTTGAAGCAAATACTACAGATAACTTGCAAATCCACCTAATTTCTAACCATTCCACGGGCCATTGGAGATTTCTCAATTATCAAAAGAAAAACATTATTTCTGGAAGAAATTTTTAATATGGTATGTTTTTAAGTGAAGCCTTTTTCACAATTTATTTATGTAACTCTTTTATATTTCATTAGGGAGATTGCAGTACAATTCAATGCTGATGTAGCAGACGGGATGCCTTGGAAGTTTACTCCAACACAGCGTGAGGTGCCTTTTCCGTTATAGGCATGTGTTATGTTCATTAATAGTTAGTCAACGTACTAGTGGTTTAGCATGCTTCGTATGTTCCACTTGATGTATTATCCTTATCTTGTGATTCAGGTAAGAGTAAAACCAGGAGAGAGCGCTCTAGCGTTTTACACTGCTGAAAATCGAAGTTCGACTCCTATTACAGGTGTATCAACATACAATGTGACCCCCATGAAGGTATTTGCTTATAAAATTAGGTGTGAGCGTAGTTTGTCCACCTCCCCTTGTTCTCTACAACCTTTAGGCAGCTTATGTGACTTCAAGACAGAACTCCCTAGTCCCTCCACCTATTGTCATATTTCAATGTTTTCCTCTATGGAACATCTCAAAACTGTAGATACTCCTCATAATTCTTATGTTATTTCTATTAGACAAGTCTTCTATTTCAGAGCCTCTTCCAAACATATTATAGGTCATAAATAAAGGAATCTTTTCTTTTAAAAATAAAGTTACAATATGATGTTTGAGAGTCAACTTTCATTGACGTTGGCACCAATTTGGTGCCACACCCTCTGTTCAAGAGCGTCACCGACATGAAGGTTTTAACTATCCGATACGGAACTTAATCGTACTCTCTAAAGAAAAGGAAGTGAAGGATGAGACCCCATGTCACTATGCTTTTTGAGACTCTGCATAGATCATGTATCTACTACTGACGGTTATATATTTTGTAGTCCAGTCGTTTGCTCAAAATATATTGTTCTGAATAGATTAGTATAATTGACAACCATAATGGTGATGTGCCTTCAATTTCATAGCATAGTCACCCTAGTAGACCCATACTTAGTTGTTTCACCCTAGTAGACCCATACTTAGTTGTCAAATTCACACATCAAAAAAATAGTCATAACTATGCGCAACTTGCACCCTCTAGCGAGGTTATTCTTCATCTTTTATATTCTGATTGAACATCCATCTTAATTCATGGCATAGACATTTCTGCGCCATTTAACTTGTGGGTGTGTTAGACAGTAGTGGCATAATGTTCGCTCTCATATAACACTGCTAGTCTTATAGTTGTTCCATAAAACTTACCTTTTCGTTTAGTAGTAATCATTCTATCATGTAAAACCTTGATAGCCCTTTTCCATTTCAACCATACCATTTTTGAAGAGCATCTCAGTATCTCACCTAGATATCTATAAACACTACTCAAGCACCTCAACCCCGTCTAATCTCACATCATATTCACTCTTCTTATTTTGACTAAGCTCGTACTGCATTCGGTCTTTTGCTTTTCTTAAATCCCTTTCATTGTAGAATGATTCTCCACACTTCCATCTTTTGGATGACATCCTCATTGGTTTGGTCGATTAACACAATATGACCTCTATTTTCTTTTGTGTGTGTTAGCTCATCAATAATTAGGGCAAACAATTTCGGGCTTAATGCTGATCCTTCATGTTTGTCTTATCAGGCTGCTGTATATTTCAATAAAATACAATGTTTTTGCTTTGAGGAACAGCGATTGCTTCCTGGGGAGCAGATTGACATGCCTGTAAGTAGCTCCTCAACTTTCATTGCCTGAAGATTATTGCATCTATACCTCTTTTCATTCCAATGACACATTAATCAACTTGCATTTGTAGGTTTTCTTTTACATTGATCCTGAGTTTGAAACCGACCCCAAAATGGATGGCATAAACAATTTGATCCTATCATACACCTTCTTTAAGGTCTCGGACAAATAAAGAAGCTGCATAGCTCCCGCCACCTGGGCATGGTCACCACCAGATATGTAATTTACTGCAGCAATAACTTGATTTTTGTGGCTGACAAGGGAATGAACAGTGAAAACATTGTTTCACCTGTAGTTTGTGTTATTACTGGACCAAAAAAAAACTCATTTATCATCCTACTGCAATAATTTAAAAGATAACATAAAAATATGAAATGGCTACAACAATTGTAGCCTTTTCTTTAGCCATATTTTGTCTTTCTGTTTTGTTGGTTGATAACTGTTAAAACACTAAACTTGTTATGTATTGTACTTGTATGAAATCTAAGATGTCAATAACAACATACTCAATATAATCTCATGAGCTGAGTCTGAAGGTAAAGTGTACGACCTTATTCCTACCTAGTAGAGATAGATTGGTTGTTTCTGATAAACCCTCAATAGTTACAATAAACTAAAGATCAATATAGAACTTAAATTGAAAGACCTGATTTTAAGTACTTCTTAGAAGTGTGATTATTTCTTCTGTTGTTGTCCCTTTGACTTTGTTGATTATTTCTTCTTCTGTTATCCCTTTGACCTTGTTGCTTTTTTCTCCTTTGCGTAGTAATTGTGTGTTCATATTCTTCAATGAAATTTGAAAGCCATTTTGGATTTCCAGTAGAAATCATGAAATATCCAATAGAAAATCCAACACATAGTCCACATCCATAGCCCAAAAGAACCGCCTTCCATTCAATGAGGAATTGAGAATTGATTTCTTGATCTAGCAATGATGATGTATCATTTCCTTCTTCTACCCCTTTATTATGACAACGTCTCGTAACTGGGTATCCATGTAATCCAATATTACTTTGGAATGCATATGAATTTTCCCCAAAGGTTGAAAATTGACGTCCTTGAGGTATGCATCCTGTGAGACGATTGTAGGAGAGATCCAACCAAACAAGATTTGAAAGAGAAACGAGTTGTTCTGGTATCTCTCCTTCAAGCAAGTTGTCTGATAGGTCCAATAGCTCAAGTGTTTGCATCTTTGCTATTTCTACAGGAATGGGACCAGAAATTTCGTTGGAGGAAGCAGAGAACACTCTTACATTGATCAAGTTACCTATTTCTGGAGGAATATGACCTGCTAACTGATTTGAACCAAGATAAGTTTCAATAAGATTGACGAGTTTCCCTATTTCTACAGGAATGGAGCCAGAAAGGCGATTTCCATAAAGACACAAATAGGTCAAGTTGTTCAAATTCCCTAATGAAGTAGGGATAGAACCTTCAAGAAGGTTAGTATTTAAAGCTAGCCGAGTTAGAGACCTTAGGTAACCTATTTCTTTTGGAATCGAACCATTCAACTGGTTCATAGAGATGTGGAAGGTCCCAAGCTTGGTTAGTGAATCGATTTGTGGTGGGATTGTGCCTGAAATATAATTGTTGGACAAATCAAGACGGACAAGATTAGTGAGTTTACCAATTTCAAGTGGAATGATTCCAGAGAAATGATTTATACTAAGATTAACATATTCAAGAAAAATGAGAGTCGAAAAAGGAAAATCATAGAGTGTGTCAATAACACTTGCATTTGTAATATCCAAACTGTTTACCCTTCCATTAGAACATTTAACTCCATTCCAATCCCTGCATTCACTAGAATTTTGTGTCCATGAAGCCAATAATGAATCATTCTTATAATGCAAAGTTGATTTCCATTTTAGGAGAGAAGTTGCTTCCTCAATAGAAGCAAAAGTAATTGTGAAGAGATATAAGAGTGAAAAAATGAAGTAGAGGAAATATTTTGGTAACCATCATTATTGATTTTCAGTTGATTATTTTGGTTTTTGATCAAGAACTTGTATTTTTTTTTAAATAGTGTAGCAGGTCTGGCTAGTCAATGAGTCTTCATTTTCTCAGCTTGTGAAACACAAGAGTAGACTTTGGAGTCAATGACTCTTAAATTGGCCTAAGTTGTAATGAAGATGTTGAAATTGTAGTACAATTCAATGAGTCAATGACTTGTCTTCTGTCGTGTTTTTTGGTTGATAAATGTGATCCACTTCCCTGGTTAAGTGTTGTACTAGTACTAAAAACTAAGATGTCCACACCAACATATTCCATGTAATTCTACAAATGACGTTTGGGAAGGGTAGTGTGTGTGCAGATTTTACCCTTACCTTGATAAGATTGTCGAGTTCCCCTATTTCTTCGGAAATGGAGCCAGAAAGGCGATTATAAAAATACAAATAGGTCAAGTTGTTCAAATTTCCTAATGAAGTTGGAATAGAACCAAGAAAATTTTGAATTCTTATTTCATAATTTTGGCATGGATACTCTAGAGGTGGCGGGTATGATTCACCAGGTCACTATGAAATGATTCTAAAAAAAATGGGCGAAACAAAGTCTATAAGTAATATTTTTAAAAATTTATGAACTAACACGTACGAAAACTAAGAAAATCCTGAATTCTTGTTTCGTAACCCCCTAAATACTTGAAATAAAATAACATAGAATCCTCTAGAGGTTGTGAATATGATTCACTAGATGATCCTAAAGTTTTTTGAATCAACAATGTTTAACTCCATGATTCAGCATTTGTAATATATATTCAGCATGTTTACATTACCCAACATTTAATTCCTTCTGGAAAATGCTGATTTTTTGCTCAGAGATTGTGCCTGAAATATAAGTGATGGACAAAACAAGATAGATAATATTAGTGAGTTTACCAATTTCAGATGAAATGGTATGAGACAGATGATTTATGCTAAGACTAACAAATTCAAAAAAAAAAAAAAAGTCAGACACAAATGGAAAATTATGGAGTAACACACGCGAAAATTAAGAAAATTATGAATTTTAATTTTATATAATCCTTCAATACTAGAAAGGGTGGCGTGGATCCTCTAGGCAATGAATATGGCTCACTAGGTCATTACGAATGATTTTAAGAAAATATTGATCAATTTAAGCCGGTCAGTAATATTTTTAGAAGTTTATGGACTGTTACATACACATCCAAATGCTATAAAAAAAAATGGTGTGAATCATATAGAAGCTAACGAATATGGTTCACCAGATCATTACAGGATGATCTTTAAAAAAAATCCGTCAAAAAAAGCCGACCAGTAATATTTTCAAAATTTATGAACTAATTAATGCTCACGAAAAACTAAGTAAATCTTGAATTCTTGTTTTGTGACCCCTAAGGCCTGTTGTAAAAAATAGTGTGGATCATGTTGAAGCTATGAGTATGGTTCATCATGTCATTACGAGTGATACTAAAGAATTGGGGATCAAATAGAGCCAACCAGTCATATGTTAAAAAATTCATGAACTAAATTGGGGATCAAATAGAGCCAACCAGTCATATGTTAAAAAATTTATGAACTAATACATGTGAAAAATTAATAAAATTTAGAATTCATATTTTGTATATAAATTGTGTTGAGTCTAGACAAATTTGAAATTAAACTAGATTTGGTTCAAGTGCAATATAAAACTTGAACTAGTTACACTAGAGAAGACTTCAGGAATACTTTTTCCCTTTAGAAAATGCCCAACTTTTTGCTCTTTTCCTTCACAACTCCATAAAGGTTTCTTCGGAGCTGACAAAAGAGGTAGCTCGGATGGTAATAATCTTTCACCTCCAACCTCAAAAGTATAGGCTCGAGTCATCGACAGAGCAAAAAGGGGGAGCTTTCACCTTGCTCCCTTGACCGTTCGAGCCAAAGAACTGAAGAAAGAATATGGAGGATGCTTACTATTTGAGCAACTCCCTCTTTGTTATTAATAAAAGAGAAAATAAGCAACAAAGTTTGCATTTCAGAAATGGAAAAAAATCTTCCTCGTGAGGTTATGTTATTTATTTATATTCCTCTGATAACATAAAATTGATGTGAATAATAAGCTAAGAAAATATTTGAGAAAAGTGAGACAAAAATGGAAAATCATGGGAGTGTAACACACATGAAAACTAAGAAAATTCTGAATTGATATTTCATAATTCCTAAATAATATAAAGGGCATCATAAATCCTCTAGAGGTGATGGATATATATAGTTCACTATATCATTACAGATAATTCTAAAAAAAATATTGACAAAATAGAGTCCGTCGGTAATATTTTCATAAAGTTAATGGATTAACACATGAAAAACTAAGACAATTCAAAATTCATATTTTATGGACCTCTAAATGCTTTAAAAAATGGTGTGGATCATGTAGAAGCTATGAGTATGGTTCACCAGATCATTAGAGATGATCCTAAAAAAGATCGGCATAAAAGAGTCTATCAATAATATTATTAAATATTTATAAATTAATACACACAAAAAACTGAGTAAATCATGAATTCCTATTTTATTACCCCAAAATACTATAAAAAGTAGCATAGATCATGTAGAGGCTATGAGTCTAGTTCATTAAGTCATTACGGGTTATTCTAAAAAAATTGGATCAAACAGTGCCAACTAGTGATATGTTAAAAAATTTATAGACTAATATTCATAAAAAATTGAAAAAAAATCTAGAAATCCTGTTTCGTGACCCCTAATTGCTAAAACAAGTGGCTTGGATCCTGTAGAGGCTATGAGTATGATTCGCCAAGTTATTATATATGGTTTTGGTAGTATTTGCACCAAAAAGTGTTGGGTTTGAGGCCTTTTTCTCTTTTTATGTGGATAAATAAAAATTTAAGGTTTTGAATCTTCTTTCCTTTACTTTGTGGATAAATTTACCACAGATTTGACTAGCCACGTTGGCCCATAAGCTCAATATTATGGTGCATATGTAAGACTTTCTTTTAGGTCTTATTTTGAAAAGAATCAGAAGAGTTTTGAGAGCAACCATATAGAGAGAAAAGTGAGAAAGAGCAAATTTTCGCACAAGCCCTATGAGCCTAAATTGTGATTTCTGCTTCATGTTTTTATCCGATTGAGCTGATTTTTGGACAACTTGTTTCTTTCAACTTAATCTTTGATTGGGAACTGGGAGAGGGTGATTTGGAGTCCTGTAGCTTCAAATTTTTGCTCGTGAATAGTAGCTGCGATTTTTTTTTTATTCCTTTTATTTCTCTAGCTTTTGGTGCTATCTTGTAGTTGTGTTGCTCATTGTTTTGCACTTTGTCGGTGACCATTTTAGAGACACTTTTGAATCTCTTGTTTATTTTAGTGAAGCTTTGGCCTTGTGATTTTTACTCTTCAAACCGAAGAGGTTGTCCACGTTAAATTTGGTGTCTCTTGTGTTGATTTAGTTTTCTTGCTTGGTGATTTGTTTGCTGCCCAAATAATTTTATTCTTCCATTATTTTATCTTCTCTTGGTTCAAATAGAAGGGAAAGTTTTGACTTGGATTTTCTTCCGCTATAACCCTATCGTGCATACTTATTTTGTGCTTGCCTTTTTCAACAAAAAGAGCCGGTCAATAATATTTCAAAGATTCACAGACTAATAATATACACGAAAAACTAAGAAAATTCGAAATTTTCTGTTTTGTGATTCCTAAATGCTATAAAAGATGACACGGATCATGTAGAAGTTCTTGATTACTAGGTCATACAAATGATCCAAAACAAACTTGGGTCAAACAGAGCCGGTTAATGATATTTTCAAAAATTTATGAATTAACACATATAAAAAATTGAGAAAATCTTAAAATTTTATTTCGTGATTCTAAATGCTAAAAGAAAGTGGCATGATTCCTCTGGAAACTTTGGTTTATGATTCACTAGATTATTACGGATTATTCTAAATGGAATGTTTGCATACTATATCCATATATTGCACTTGTACAATTGTATTTAGTCAAATCGAATTTGAAATTTAACCTAATTTGGTTTAAGTGGAATATAAAACTTGAACTAATTACCAGAAAAGACTTCATGGGAATGTTTTTTCCTTTTGGAAAATGCCCTTTTTTTTTCTTTCTTTTTTTTTTTTTGCTCTTTTCCATCGCAACTCCATAAAGGTTTCTTCGGAGCTGACAAAAGAGGTAGCTCAGATGGTAATGATCTTTCACCTCTAGCCTTAAAATTATACGTCCGAGTCACCAACAAAACAAAAAGGGAGATCTTTCACCTCCAACCTCAAAATCATAGGCTCGAGTCACCAACAGAGCAAAAAAGGGGGAGCTTTCACCTTGCTCCCTTGACGATTCGAACCAGAAATCTCGAGAATGAATGTGGAGGATGCTTACCATCTGAGCAACTCCCTCTTTGTTATTGAAAAAACCTTTATAAAGTTGTGAAGGAAAAGAGAAAAATGAGCAACAAAGTTTGCATTTCACAAATGGAAAAGAATCTTCCAATCTTCCTCATGAAGTTATGTTATTTCTTATATTCCTCTAAATTCTAATAAAACAAATTGATGCAAACCTTTAAACGTTGACTCTTCATTAGTAAGTTTACCAATTTCAGGTAAAATAGTGCCAAGACAAATGATTTAAGCTAAGACATTTTGAGAAAAGTGAGACAAAAATGAAAAATCATGGGAGCGTAACACACATAAAAACTAAGAAAATGCTGAATTTCTATTTCATAATCCCTAAATAATAAAAAGGGCGGCGTAGATCCTCTAGTGGTGATGGATATGGTTCACTAGATCATTACAAATGATTCTAAAAAATATTGACAAAAAAAGTCCGTCGGTAAATATTTTAAAAAGTTCATGGGACTAACACATGAAAAACTAAGAAAATTCTGAATTCATATTTTATGGACCTCTAAATGCTATGAAAAATGGTGTGGGTGATGTAGAAGCTAGAGTATTGGTTCACTAGATCATTACGGATGATCCTAAAAGAAATCAGCATAAAAGAGTTAATATTTTTAGATATTCATAAATTAATACACACAAAAAATTGAGAAAATCATAAATTAATGTTTTGTGACCCCTAAATACTATAAAAAGTGGCGTAAATCATGTAGAGACTAGAGACTATGAGTACGGTTCATGATCAGGTCATTACCGATGATCCAAAAATAAAAAATTGGATCAAACAGAGCCAGAAAGTAATATGTTTAAAAATTCATGGACTAATACGCACAAAAATTGAGGAAAATTCTAAAATTCCTGTTTGGTGACCACTAATCATATCATATATTATTATAAGCGGAAAGCTCCTAACTTAAAAGTTGAATTACTATTTTGCCCTTATTTTATTCCTAAATTAAATTAAATATTAATATATAATTAATTTAATATTAAAATCATATTTAAATACATGCATCTAAACACAATGGTTTAAATTCTAATTATTTACATACTAAGTAATAATTATATTATATTATAGTAAATACTAAAAATAAGGTGTAAAGTCAAACTTTGAAAGACAAAAATATTTTATAGAAAATTGTTAGAAATTATTTCATAGAAAATTGTTAGGAATTACTTTTTTTTTTAAAATAAAAATTATCTATTCTTTCTCTATAATTAATGTGTTTAAATGATTAAATTTGTTATCCTCTCTCTTGAGTTAGTATAATTTAAACGTATTGAATTATTAGTAAAAATAATTACCTTTCCTATACCCCATGTCTAACTAAGATCACTTAACTTCTGAAAATTAACTTAAACAACTCTTCACATTTTCATATTATCCAATGAATCTTTAGCTATATATATGTTTCATGAAAAATAATTTTTTTTTACCACTTGCCTCATGTGAATCATTAGGCAATTTTCAGGTACTTTTTTTTTGTTTTAAAATATTAATATTTGTTGATACTCATTAGAATGATATTTTGAATCATAAATTTTATCTTTACCATTTCAGATTGCTTTTTTTTTTGTTACAGAAAAAAAACTCTACGCCTTGTGTATTTCTTTTTACTATATATATTGTTAGAATAAAAGACTTAAGAATGATATGACTATTGTGTTTTTTCTTATCTGTTTAATTTTTTTTTATTCTTTACCGATTATACTTCTTTAATATAATCTTCTATGAATTTATAAAAATAATATAAGTCTATTTTTATTAGTGCTGAAATTACTAATTTATGACATTTAGATTCGTTTTTAAATGTACTTTTATAATATTTATTTACTTTTATCTTTTCTTACTAATATAGTTTTTTGACTAGCTACATATTTGTGTACTTACTAATATGGAGCGTAATGAGAGATTATATATTCATATTATTAGATGCTATAGTAATTTAATTATTTTTCCATATTTCTTGCTTGATGGTCAATGTACTATTCGATTATTATGAATTTTATTTAATGAATAAAATATAAATTGTTTAAACTAATATTTCTAATTTCAACATTTTCTATATAATAATTCAACTTCATAATAATTGTATGGGACAAACGTGCAACCCACGTTTTTGAAACTAGTATTATTATAAGTGAGAAACTTCTAACCTGAAAGTTGAATTACCATTTTACCCTTATTTTATCTCTAAAATAAATTAATATTAATACCTATTTAATTAATTAAATATTAAGTAAAAGTTATATTTAAATTCATGCATCAAATAAGATCTTAATGCATCATATATTTATGTAATAATTAAATGTAGATAATGAAGAGTCTAATAACCTTTCAACTTTAATTTGTTAGATAAGTGGGGTAATGAAGAGTCTATCAAATACACTCACACCACATTATATATATTCCTTGTTTTATTCAAGTTTGTAATCATGTTGCATAATACAGTAGGTTAGTCTACATTCCTCGTAAAATTTTCATTATCAGTTTGTAATTATAAGAATTCTTACTATTTTATTTATTTGTATTCTTTAAAATTTCATGCATATTCATCTTCTTTTTGTTGAGAAATATGTAAATTATGATAGTTACAAGATGAATATACTCCAATATGAAGTTGTAGTAAATATTTATTTTTCACATCTCCATCATTTTGAGTTTATAAATATAACTTTGTAGTTGATTACTGTATTTTTGTATTGGGATAATGTCCAAGTACCCCCTCAACCTATGCCTGAAATCTTAGAGATACACTTATACTATACTAAGGTCCTATTACCCCCTGAACTTATTTTATTAATAATTTTTTACCCCTTTTTTAGCCTACGTGGCACTATCTTGTGGGCCCAACGATGATTGACTTTTTTTTTTCAAACTAGTGCCACGTAAGCTAATAAGGGGTAGAAAATTACTTATAAAATAAGTTCAGGGGGTAATAGGACCTTAGTATAGTATAAGTGTGTCTCTGGGATTTCGGGTATAGGTTGAGGGGGTACTTGTGCATTTTCCCTTTTGTATTCATCATTTATCTTTTTAAACCAACATATTTGTACTTTTTCCTTTTTATATGTAATTTCAAATGTTCAAAAAAATTCATGTACTTAATTGTTATAGAGAGGTACAAAATAAGTGCAAAAGTAAAAATAAAATAAAAAATAATGTATAGTAAAAAAATGACTAAATGATACATTGAATAATATTATTTTAGAATTCATTGATATATATATATATATATATATATATATATATATATATATCTCAAGAAATATAATTTATCTTTATTCTTAAAATATTTATACCTTCTTTTCTGTTTGTCTTATTTATTATTATTATATGATTATAGTTTTTTTATACATATGATATGTTTCGTCTAGAGTAAGTCATGTTTTATCTAGAATAAGTCTACTTTTAATAAAATGTAATTCAATTAGTATGAAAATATTTTTGTCTATATATTTTAATGTGATGTCTTTTTTATGGATGCCATGTCTTTATTTACTCTTTTTTTCGTTTGAAAATTGTAATTTTTTCTATAAATTTGATGGTATACCGCCCGAACATTTTGTAATATTTTTCTTTATACATATCTTTTTTTATAGACAATTTCTTGTTTGATTATTAAAACTTATGTATAGCAATTAAAAATATTAATTCCTCTGATAAAATAAAATGTTTATTTTTCATGAGGTATTTAATATATCAAACCTCTAACATCTAACACAAGATTTTCATGTTATATTTTGTGCAGAGTTATATTCTTATGTTAAACTTACATATGCAAGGACTTAGATTTGAACTTAGCTATATAAATTAGAATTTTCTAATATCAATTAGGGGACAAACGTGCGATGCACATTCTGAAAACTAGTTGCTAAAACAAGTGTGGATCCTCCGGAGACTATGAATATGGTTTACCAGGTTATTTTATAGATGGTTCTGGAAGTATTTGCACCAAAAAGAGCTGGTCAATAATATTCAAAAAGTTCATGGACTACATACACGAAAACTAAGAAAATCCTGAATATTTTGTTTTGTGACTCGGAAGTCCTAAATGGTATAAAAGATGGTGTGGATCATGCAGAAATTCTTGTTCACTAGGTCATTACAAACGAACCTAAGAAAATCAGGTCAAACAAAGCCAGATAGTATATATGAACTAACTTACATAAAAAATTGAGAAAATCTTAAGTTCCTGTTTCACGATCCTAAATCCTAAAAAAGTGGCATGATTCCTCTAGAGACTTTGGTTTATGATTCACTAGATTATTACGGATTATTCTAAATTTTAATCGCACTTGTATAATTGTATAAAGAAAAAAACAATACATATGTTTGCATAATATATATATTAGACTTGTACAATAGTATTTAGTCTAATCGAATTTGAAATTAAACTTATAGGCTTAAGTTGCTCATATGGTAATAACATTCACCTCCAAGCTCAATATTATAGGCTTGAGTCACCAACAGAGAAAAAAGGGGAGCTTTCACCTTTTTGCTCCCTTGATAATTCGAACCAGAAATCTCAAAAATGAAAGTAAAGGATGCTTACTATCTGAACAACTCCCTCCTTGTTATCGTAAATGCCTCTATAAAGTTGCGAAGGAAAAGAGAAAAAGAGCAACAAAGTTTGCATTTCACAAATGGAAAAAATCTTCCTCGTGAAGTTATTTACTTTAATTATGTTACTTATATTCCTCTAATAAAACAAAATTGATGCAAACCTTTAAACTTTGACTCTTCAGTAAGGTTGCATTCATAAATTTCGACAACTCATATTTGATCTTTCCAGCTAACAGATCTGTTTGATCTTACTATCCTCCGACAAGCACTACATAAAAAATAATCTTTAATGGTAATTAATTAAGGATAATAACTTGATTTCCCTAAAAACATAACTTGAGTAAAATTTACTCATTTAGAACTCTTTCGTAAAATGTCTCTAAAGTCTATAGCGGCTTTAAATTCAATGACATTAACTAAAACACTTTATCACTCTTTATGTTAATATATATTTGTTGCCACTAATATGATCTTAATTATACGTCGTATATTGGAATCCTGAAGCACCACCACGATCATGGCAGAGCCAGCCCTTCTATTAGGGGGTTTATCCAAACCTCCTTCGGTGGAAAATATTACTATTTATACATGATTTAAATTATTTTGTATGTATATATACTAAATGTTGAATCCCCGTACGTTGGTTCGTGTGTTTCGTTCTTCAGATTTTCAATCCCGTTATTAAAAATCCTAGCTCCACCTCTTACCACAATCCTCCAATACATACTCTTTTTGTTTCATTTTATTACTTGATCCTTCTATCAAAAATAAATGTTTCATTTTACAGAAACATTTTCCTTTAGAATGACAATGGAGCTAGCTATGGAAATGATATGAAAAGAAATTAAAGAAATAATGGAGCTACTGCACATTGAAGCAATGTAGGCAAAAGAAAATGTAGTTGTGATATATTCCTAAAACCTTAACACAATGATGATGATTAATGAAGATCATAGTATAGGGTTCACGTTTAGGTATGGAGAAAATTATGTGGGAGCACCACTGCCGAATGAGTCCTGCAATGCGCGATTCGAGTTTAGTTTGGGCTCCGTGGACTCCAAATATATAATCATATTTTCCAAACGAGATATTTAAAAATGGGAAGAACTGACATATGATTACAAATTCTTCTCTATCGATCGATGAACAACTTGTGTGTTATTATCTATACAACTCAAATCATTACTCAAAATCAAATTTAATAAGTACTATATTTATGTAAGTATTTTTTTTTTTTGTGCGTTTGAGACTTGATTAGAAAGTTGTAACACATGTAATATTATTTTGCAAATATGTACATTAATATTTTTAAAATTATA